GGAGCCCCAGTTAACAGCAGTCAGAAGTGCTGATGGTCATCAGGGGACCCTGCCGACATTCACTGTAGCATTTGGGGCAAAGATGTGACTCTAATTTCACAGTAATTAGGTGGTTGCTTATGAGGAACAAGACACTTTCTTATTTTTTCCACAGTTCAGATGGTGGTAACAGTGTGAAGAGGTTGAAACTAGACACTGATCATGACGAAAAGAATCAAGGTATGTCCTGATTTCTGCGTGTGGGAAGCAGTCTGTCTCTCACCTGAACAGCAACTGACTTGCTGTTCAGTCTGATAGAGGATTTGCTTTTCTGCTCCTCCATTATGCAAGACAGCACAGACTGCGGTCACTGTGTTCTCTTAAAACAGCAGAAATGGTAACTATAGGCGCTGACAGCCTGCATAGAAAATAGAGCTGGAGGGGGCCTCTACAGGTTGTCACTCTGTTCCCTGCCTAAACTGTTCCCGACAGATGTTTGTCTAAGCTGCTCTGAAATCTCCACATATAGCGATCGTGCACCCTCCTTAGGCAGTATATTCTAATTTTACCCTTAAAGAGTTTTACCTGATAACTAATAGGAGGAGCCTCCAGAGCTGCATTTCGAGCCTAGTGCTTGTCCTGTCAAGAGGAGACGTGGCAAACTCATCATCCCTTTCCTCTTCACCGCAGCATTTGATATATTTGTATACCTCCACCCTTAGCTTTTTGTGCTGTGATCTTGTCCATCCTGAAACCAATTTGTTTTGGAAAATTATGGGGAACTAGAAGAAAAATGAAGTTGCATTTCAGTCTTAGCTGTCAGGGCTGCAATTGACTTGCTGTCAAGATACTCTGACATGAGCAGGGTGAGCTGCAATTGTGTAATGACAACCCAAGGCGCTTCCTGAATCTCCTTCTGTTCAGTTAACTTTCAGAACGCTGGAAATAATTAATTGGCCGTGGAAGATAGGAGACGTTGACTAGCAGAGCGATGGAATAAAACTTTTCCCCAACTATGCTGTTATATCACAAAAAAATATTCAATTACACAAAGCAGAGCTATTTATTCTTATTTAGTGGGTTTAGTATTTGACAAGCATCAAACTGACAACTTTAGAATAAAAATCTGTAATGCCAGCACAGAGCTGGGCTTAAGCTAGTGATGAGGAAAAAAAAAAAATCCCCTGAGGTAGCAAGTCCTTCCTGTCAGAATAGCTTTATTGCAGCATAAAGCTGCCTTATGCTTTAATTAAATCCTGCAATCATCGGCTGCTGATGTGGCAATAGCAGGTGAACGACACGCGGCATTTCCTGAGCTGAAGAAAAGCCCTTTCCGGTGTTCTCAATTTTGACTGGGGTACCTTTCTTCCAGAAAAACCATCCTGCGTTCCCTTGGGGAGCAGCTCAGTGGGAGGCTCCACAGTCCACTGCCCCTCAGCAGCTGTGTGCATCGGGATCCTGCCTGGCCTGGGCGCCTACTCGGGAAGCAGTGATTCGGAGTCCAGCTCGGATAGCGAAGGCACTATTAATTCCACTGGAAAGATCGTCTCTTCTGTCTTCCGTAGCAACAGTTTCTTTGATGGTCCATAACAAAATCCCTCCGTGTGTAATGTAGTGCAGAGTATCTTCCAAAGCCCTGATGGATGCTTGATGCATCCTTCTGCCCCAAATATAATCTTTCTAGCTAGCCTCTCAACTTTAATATGCTCAGATACTCCTAAAATAACTCATTATATATATATTTTTTTCCCCCCCAACTTTCCATTTCTGGGGTGCATACTGAGCCTGGAAGAACAGCTGCCGTCCTAAACCAGAAGACACACATAGTAATGTCATGAAGGTCTGAGGGTAGGGAGGAGAGAGCTTTATCTTTTAAAATTCGTATGGAAAGAAAGAATTCTGGTGATCTAAGAAGTTTATACAAGACTAACAGGCAAAAAATACTCACTTGAAGCAGTGAAGTCTTGTAGAAACAGCCATGTGTTCTGTTTTAAAATGTCATTTTTATGCTGTATTTGAGAAATGGGGGCAGAACAAAAATCAAGCAGATGGTGAAGTGTAGATTGCCATGACACTGTAAAGAAGTTTTAGTGTTACATGATTAAAGACACTCTGAATGCATTTTTTTTTATTTCGGCTTGTGCCATTCATAATTGTTCCTATTCCATTAAGCAATTTCTGCTCTACCCAACCAGCCCCTTCCTCAAACCGCCACTGGGAGAAGAACCAGCCAGCCTCCTACAAATGCAGAGGTGCTGATGGAAGACACTTGTTTTGAGTGAGTTCCGAGGAGCTGTTGCTCCCGCACCACCGCTTGACAGGTCATTCAGCTTTTCTGCGTCCGCGTCCTGAAGAGCGTGAACCCTGAGTGGGAATGCGTGGGATACCCTGCTTCAGCCAAACCTCTTTGTGCAGAAGCTGGAGGACTCCACCATCCTTTGCAGTGGTTTTTGGAGTTGTGTTGAATTTAAGAAACCTTACGTGGGTGTGTTTATGGGGTATGTGGAGCCAGGCATGAGCGAGAAGTAGGCTGTGAAAGCTGAGGGCCCGTACTTGTTGTCTGCATGCGTGCAGAGCTAATGGGAGGTCAGTGGGTTGGAACAGCTCGGCTCGGCCACTCAGAGGTGGAAATGTGTTTGCGACAGTCCCTCACAGCAGCCTTGCTCTGCGTACGTGCTCCTGAGAAAACAGCTGATGCGTGCGTACCGAAGGGCGGTTATCCGAGCGTGGGGCTGAGCGACTTGTAAGAGAGCAGCTGGGATAAAAGCAGTGCAACCTGAAGGCCTGCGGTAGGGTTCGTGTCTTAGCTTGAGTGTTGAGCTTCCCCAGAGGAAACTGGGAGAGTTATGCTCACGCTGAAGCTGTCCGTAGCCAAATACCCTTTCTGTTTGCGCAGCCCTGTTCCGCAGTCAGATCTTTGCAAACGCCCTGTGATTCCTCCCCTGTTCCCCTGGGCTGCCTGGCGCCTCTTGTGTTTGCTCCAGAGTTGCTCCTGCCTCTTCTCTAGCTCCTGTAATTATGGTGCTTGCAGGAGGAAAATAGCTAGATCTCTGCTGCCTCCCTAATGCTTTGCTTTCGATGGCTTTCATTGTACTTAGCTATGGAGTGGTGCACAAAAAATGCCTGTTTTTCTTCAAAGTTCCACTTGTAAGAGCCTTGAGCAGTTGGAGTGAGAGGTGTAGGTGTCCTTCCCTGGCTCCATGCTAGATCAATAATCTCTCTGTAGAGTCAGAACAGCCTGGTCTGGCTGTGAGCACACCGGGGCCGTTTTCCTGAGGGATATTTTGCATAACTGCAGTCAACACGACTGATTTAGACAGAAATTTATAATGGGATTTGGCAGCTAGTTACGGGCAGCCGTGGGGGTGGGGGTGCCAGTGGTTATGTTGGATCATGCAAGGCCAGGAGGACACGTAACTTGTTAAAAGCTGGTGTGAGAGCCCCCCGCTTTCCTTGTGTTCCCAGGAACAGGGCACGGGGGGAACGCCTCTAGCTCACACGAGCCTTTGAGCCTGAGTCACCTCTGCTGTTCCCAGGGCCTGGCCCCTGTAAACACAGCGCAGAGCTGTCCCAGCTCGCCACTCCATCCCTTGGTCCCATTTACCTTCTTGCAGTCAAAAGCTGTCTGATGTTAAAATACTTAAGTGTGCTGAGAGACGTGCTGGGATGTGAAGAGTGCAAGGGATGGAGGATAAATCAGACCTGGAGATGGCAGCTGTGGCAGGAACCTTGCCTGGGGCCAACGTGCTGGAGAAGGACGGCTGGCTCCAGCAACTCTGTCATTCAGTCATGGATTTAGATTTTTTGTTTGTTTTGTGTTGGTTTTGTTTTGTGGGTTTTTTTGTAAAGACTGTTCTCTCTTTGCCATGGCTGCATAGTGTATGCTTCATCCCCTCCCCAGGGACAGCTTCATAAACTGCTTGTTGTCTGTACTAGTTGTTAAAGCTTCAGAGAGGTGCTAAAAAAAACGACAAACCCCCACAAACACTCTACTAGCAGAAGAGCTTACTAGCTAGTGCAGCTGCATGTGAGGTTGGTTCTCTTATGGAAAGAAAAAAAATGATTTTTTTTTTTTTCTCAGAGCCACAGACTTTGATCTGGAAGCTGAGCTGTATACAGCGTTATTTTTAAATGAGCCACCCTTCAAAGGCTGCTTCTCCGTTTGGAGGAGGGTGGTGTTGGTTGGGGTTTTTCCTTTCCAGGGGGCTTTGCATGGCAAACGTTTTGCGGAGCCGTCCCACCTCTCCCGAGGGATGGGGCCTCGCCCAGAGCTGACTTGGGGCCTCTCCATCAGCTTTGGCCCCATGCTTGGGCCGTGCTGGTGACTCGGTGGCGGCAGGGACAACCTTAGTGGTGGTGAGAGGCAGCGAGCACAGCCAGTAGCACACACGTGTGCAAATTGGCTCCAGGCTTTATGGAGAGACACCAGACTCCCACTGCAAGTGCTTTTGCTCGTGGGGAGAAGGGTGTAGGGTCTGCTTGAGTTTGGAGTAAGGCTGGTGATCCCTGTGATATGTACAACTCTACCTGCTGGCTTCAAAATGCCTTCATTTAGTTAAAGACTGAAGAAAGCAGCAATTAGCGCTGGAGATGGCACGGTGCTGATGAGCAGCTCAAAGGAGCTGCTGGAGAGCAGGATTTCATTACCCAGCTCGTCTCCTCCCAGGCACCAGGGAGTTTTTCTTATTCTGATGTGGAAAAATTTCTGGAGGTGAAGCAGCAGAGAACCATGAAACTCCCTTTCCCCGTTCTCTGTGGCTTCACTGGTGTTTCGCACGCACGTGTGTGCAATGCACGCCAGCCCTGCCCTCAGCTCGGGCGGGCACTGAGAGCTGACAGCAGGGAGGGAGGGGACGCTGCCCTGCCCGGGACATCCACCTTCTCCTCCACCTTCCATAAGTCTCCCTCTGGCACGCTCCCCATGGTGCCTGCGGCTGATCCCGAGCAGCCGGTGTGGGGTGACTCAAACACCCAGCACCGCTCCCCGCGCTCCCAGACCTTCCCAGTGAGGAGAGCCTTGATTAAATGTCCAAGTTTCTTTATTAACCTGAGTATAACAAATATAACATGTACACAGTATAAAAATGAACATAGAGTGTGACAGAGGTACAACACAGATACATGAACTATACAACAACCAGTTCATTGAATGATAATAATATATTAAGCATTTCATTGCTTGGAAAAAGCAAGTTTTGATTGTAAAAATTGTATCCTGTTCCACTGAAATTATACAAAGTACATTCAATACTGAAAAGTGACTCGACAGAGCAGGGCCAGGGCACGGCCTGGCCACTTAGTGTAACTGTACAAAATGAATCCAGATGCTTCTCTGGGATGAGTTTAAGAACTTAGCAATTAAATTAAGAAGTACAAAGTGTTTTGGGGAGGGTATTCTTCTCTTAAAAGCATGTGGAACATGCACTTTCGGTAGGACCAACATGCAGAGGGCGCAGCCTGGCACGGCTCTACTCAGGCTCTGAGTTGATGGGCGGCAGGTTTTGGTGCTTGAAGTACTGCACGACTTGCTGGGGCAGCTCTGCCAGCACAGCTTTGGCCAGGGTCTCCTTGGGGGCCTGCAGGCAAAGAGAGACAAACCCCGGCGTGAGCGCGGCCGTAGGGAGCGACCGAGCAAACCTGGCTGGGCTGTCCCCACCTCCAGACCGTGGCATTTCATTTAATACCCCCTAGAGTCTACTGGCAGGCGGCATTTTATACGCCTGGGATTATATTCTATACTACACCTTCCCCCTGGGAGATAATTCACTGGTAGGGAGGAATAAAACGTCCTCGGTACGGTAGAAAACCCAGGTATTGAGTAACAGCGAGTGAAAGGGAAGTGCACTGATTAGCTGCCAGAAGATGGGCGTGGCTGGTGTCCTGCATCCTCCGGCAATCCTGTGCCAGCAACAGTGCCCAGCCCAGGCGGGCTCCTGCCTGACCGCCATGGGCACAGAACTGCAGCTCGTTTTGTCTTTTTTTTTTTATTTCCTTCATCAGCTTTCCCATGCCCACCGGTGGGTCAGGCAGTGGGCGGTGGGCAGCCATCTCGCAGAGGGGACACGTGCAGGGCCGGCGCCGGCGTTGCCCCTTTCTACGGGCACCAGGAGGGGACTGGGGGGGTCGGGGCTCCCCCCAGGGCTGGGGCAATTCAGCAGTAACCCCTCGGTGCATGGCACAGCACCGGTGAGACCTGAGCGGGAGGCACCAGTGTGGGACACAAGCCCAGTACTACCCCAGCTTGATGATACGACCCTGCTCTAATTAACTGTTTTTTTGACGAGGGGTGGCAGAGACAGGGGGACGCTTAGATGGAGCACGCTATGGAGCTGCAGAGTGCTGTTGCCCCTGCCTGCCCCTGCCTGCCCCTGCCTGCAGCCCTGATTTACGTGGTCGATGCCCGCATTGCCGAGGGATGTGGGGTTTGGGGCCAGGGCAAGGCAGGAGGGTGCCAGCCCTCTTCCTCCTGCCTCTCGCTGGGCTGCTCCCACCCAGGGTCATGTCCCGGCTTGAGACCCCACGTCTGCCTACGATCCCCTCCCCGCTGCCCACACTCACATTGCGGAAATCCCGGAAGGGCACGAACTGGACGATGTCGCGCACGGCCTCCTCGCCGGTGTAGGAGCGCAGCACCCGGCTGTCCCCATCCAGGAACTCCATGGCGGCGAAGTCGGCGTTGCCCACCCCTACGATGATGATGGACATGGGCAGCTTGGACGCCTGCACCACGGCATGTCTCGTCTCGTCCATGTCGCTGATCACCCCGTCCGTGATGATGAGGAGGATGAAGTATTGCTGCAGAGTGAAGGGCAGAGGGTCAGACCCAGCGGGATGCCGGGGCACCCTCACGCCGCAGCCAGAGCCTGTGGGGCGCGAGCGGCCGGGATTCTCCGTGTGTCAGGGGGCAGGCTGGTCCTTGGGATTTGGGGAGCGAGGTTCATTGCTTCCCAGGACAGGCGGCATCACCCCCTTTAGCAGCACCCAGAAATTTCAGGCGCTCCCTTTCCCCCTGATTTTTGAAAGATAATAACCAAACAACAAACCAACTCCCACCCTAGATGTTTTGCTGATTTACCGATTTACTGTCCTTAATGATGGGAAAAAAACCCAACAGGAGTAGTTTGAGGCCGGGTCACGAGCTGGGAGATGAAACCTCCCCCCTCTGCACACAGGAGGGTGCATTTCGGGGCGATCCCCATCGACATGTCCCTGCGCTGATGGGGACCATCTCCTGCATCCCAGCGCCGGGCTGTGGGTCTCGGGGTGGGGGGCCCGTCCCATGCTCTGGGCTTGTCTATCTGCTGTACGAAGCTGTGGGTCTCGGAGGCACCGAGGGGGGGTGCAGAGGGTACCGGAAAGCTGGGGGGATGCCAGGGCAGCGGCATTGGCACCCGCTCCCCTTCCCGTGGGGAAAGGAGGGTGACAGGGCTGGTTCCCTGGAGCTGGGGGAGGACAGACGGACGGTCCGACGGACGGTCCTGCTGGAATCAGCAAATCTGGGGCATGTCGACCCTTGAAAAGCCCATCTCCTCCGCCTCCAGGGAAAGTAATGGTTCAATTTTGGCACATTACACAGCTTGCATGAGCTGGAAATGACGAAAACAAGCACTTAAGCACATTAAAGCCCTTTGTTCCTCTCCTCATTCTTTCCATTTCCTCTGAAAACCACTAGTGCAGCCGTCCTGGAAAAGCAAGAGAGGGAACGCAGCCCCAAGCCCATTTTCTTGGTTTTCCTCCAGCCCACATCTCCTGACACCTTCCCGAAGTGTCGTCTTCCCTTGACGCTCTCCGGTGCTAAACTCCAAGTCCAAACCAGGCTGGGTCGAGCTTAAACACAACCCGAGGATGCGGTTGAGGAGGTTTTGCCAAGCCAGGGCAGCCAGCCAGCCCCTTCCTGACCCCGACCCCTTTTGATGCCTACCTGCCTGTTTAGCTTTTCCCTAAATCTGAACTTTTCAGAGCAAATCATGGGGATACATAGGTCTGAAGAGCAGGACCCCAACATCTGAGTCTGGAGGGTAGGACTAAACTCCAGAAGACCTGCATGGTCCTCCATGGTGGCCAGCACTGGTCATCGCTGGAGCAGGACAAGTGACCAGGGCCTGACCCTGGCTGGGAACCAATATGGGAGGAAGAATAAAACCTTGAGAGCAGCTGATAATGGGAATTAATTTCATCTGATTCCTCCTTTCCTCCCCTGGCTTCTGTGCATGGTCAAAAAGAAGAAACTTAGAAAGGACTATTTCCCTTTGTTCCCTTTTTTTTGGTGAAACCTGTAAAAGGATCAGAGAAAAATGCTGGACAATATGCAGGAAAAGAAGAGGGAGCAGAGCTCATCAAATGTTTATCACTGTAAATATCACATATTTCAGAAGATGAGTGGAATAAGAGCTGATGCTGGGGGTCAGCCTCAAAGCCCAGGGGGGCTGCAGCGGGGCAAGCTCAGGGGGAGCATCGTCACCAGCAAGGGAGCGGCGGGCACCGCACAAGAGCATTGGCGGGAGATTCCCCAAGGAGCGATGACAATTTTGGAGGAGTCAGCAAATGGCAGCGGGGCAGGGGGTGCTGGTGGCACCTCTGGGCTCCAGCCGCGGTACCCGGCCCGGAGCCAAATCTGGGGGTCCCCGGCCGGGTGCCACCTCTGCTGAGCTGCCACCGGAACTGCTGGGGCAGGGACCAGGCTGACCCCACGGCCGGATCCCCCCGGGCTGCGGTCTCTATCGGCACACCAACCCAGCAGCACCTTCCCCCTTTCTCCTCTTTTTGATGCTAAAATGGCCGATCTCTGAATCCACCGAGGGCTTTGGGGATGATCCCTGATCCTCTGCTAATGATATCAGCAATTAGGCTCATGCACGTGAGCAGGACTTGAAGGGATTAGGCGGCATGAAACAGCACGCGGTAAGAAAAGGGGAGGTTTGGATGGAGGGGTCCTGCTGGAAAGGTGTGTTTTAATTCCCCAAAGCTTATTAATCCTTCCCCAAGAGTCAAATCGTGTGTAATCCCTCTGCTTCTCCCCCCCCCCACCCCCAC